AAGGTCACTTTTCTTAGCAAACGCGCATCGCAGTGCCTTGAATATTCGGCTCCCCTTACACCCACCAAGCATCTCGGACACTCATCAGTATCAGTAGGATGAAGTTGCAAAGCCTAGTTACTTTCCGCCTCAAGAACACATCAAAGCTGTAGAGGATGAGTGGCTGATAGACAAACGAACATCTGCGACTACATCTGGTTCAGGATTTGTGAGGCACTGCTGCTGGATGTCACTGGTAGGATTTTCACTGTTGCTGACATCTTCATTTGATATACCTATTTCATAAATGGGTGTTCCTTCTAGAGCCTCCTTAAGGGTGATTAGAAGGGGGTGATAAACTGATCACACCCGTTTACGACTGACTAAAAAAGGCAACTTTAAAATGCAACGAACAGAACAGAATTCACTTATAATTCACTTATAATGAATAAATAACTACTTAAGTTGAAGTTAAGTGATGCAAAATATGTTCTGTGGAGATTGCTATAAGATGCTCGACTTGTGTCTGATTGATATGGATGAAAGGTGAAGGCGATTTACCATCAGAGGAGTCAATGTCGAGGTCAAAGTCAAGGGGTGAGGGAGCAATGTGTCTGAGGGAAGGAGTTGGATTTGCATGCTGATGGCTCATTCGTGGAGATGGTACACTGGGCCTGTCTCGACATCATTCGGAGGAGGAGTGGGGCGCCAAGCACTTCAATGTGCTCGTGAGTGGACAACCTTTGATGTCTATCGGCGGAGTGTTGTTAGGTTGTCAGATGAATGTGACCCAGTGATGTTTGAAAACACGTGTGTTTTATTGATGCAGTGAGCGAACTTAGGGTGTGCATTCTATTCGCCCTGCTCCATTCTTTTCACTAAGGTGTTTCTTCAAGCAAGCCTTGCAATGCTTCTCCTCATGACTGACAGTTATTCCCTCCATCCACCGTGCCGCCTAACGACTGCTAATGAGTGTAAGAACTTCTAATGCAGCAGTGAGGATTTCATTTCCCAACTTTGTGCTTTTGCACTGAGTTTTCACACATTCAAGATTGTTAGTGAAAGTAATGCAACTTGGTGAGTCAGACACAATAAAATGTCTGATTTGGAGTCAAGATATGCAAAAGGTCATCCACTTTCCTACGGGCTGCATGATCATACACGCGACGTCTGCTGGCGTGCAGTCGTGGTGCTCATTGTCGTCCCACGTCGTGTGTTCCTTATGGAATCAACAGTTTGACTTTGCATGCTGAAACACTCTCAGCTTTGCATTGCCGTCTTGTGGAATGTCATGTACACCATGTGGAAAAGTTGCATTTGTTTGCAAAGATGGTACATTTAGGCTTTAGTATCCCACCATTCCTGTCGCTTAACACGGACAGTTGATAAGAAGCAGGGTAGCTGGAGCAAACGAAGTCAGAGAGAAGACTGCTTTCCTTTGGGTTTTTTTCTACTCCACTTAACAAAAGGGGCAGTGCTTACTTTGAGGTGATGTTTACACATGTCTACTTGAAGAGTGGGTAGTATACGACGCAATGCATTTGGATGCTCGCGGAGTGGAGGAAGTAATTTCATGCATCCTGTCCACCAGACGCTCATTCCATTCAGTGTCTGCTACTACACTGTTTAACAACTAATGCCCACCCTCTTCGACTTTAACAAGGGTGTTCGAGAACAATGTAAACAGTTATCCACAGTCATCGCCTAAAGACTTGGTGCTACTCCACTTTGCAAGATTTGGAGGGTGCCACGGAAATGAAAATAGAATTGCGTAATGCATACACAATCCACTACCATTATGTAACCAGCCTATCCCAATCTTCCATACAATCCTACTAGTTGAGCAAATGCTATAAGGTGGAAGGGAGTTTCACATGCAATGAACTCACCGTAGAACAATTATTTAGTGTCCAGCACAAGATAAACTCCTCTCCGCTTATCTTTTTCTGTCGGAGCATCCAAGGCATCGTCACAACTGTCAGCAGAGGTTGTTTTAACACTTAACACTTGGCGTCATCCCGAGTTAGCTCCCCTTGCACATAGGACGCAGTCTCTTATCATCATCAATAAGGAAATAGTATGATGGTACTATTGCCCTTGCTACACACTGGAGATCTATGCGCTAGACAGGCGGATGCTAGGGAGGCCACCAGATGTGTGTCTTGATTGATGGATGTGGGTCAGTCAACACAAGGGTGTGTATTGTGAGGATGACCCAGTGACTGATTGGTCAAGACTGCCAAAGTCTGTCGGAGGCTGGATCTGCATCTGACTCTAAGTCTTCAACTGCGACTGGGTCACGTGGTGAGCTCAGTAATGAAGTGACCTTGGCCTTAAAGTGACTGTTAGTGTGCTTAAGGTGGAGGCTAAGAAATGGATGTCAAACAGAGCCAGTGAAGGCTCACAACAGATGCGCGGTCAACTGGACCTACCCAAGATACCATAAGGTGAAATATGGAAAAGCACCCAACTGAAGTCATACTCAGACGACGAGGGGTCACCAGACATTTTACAACACCACTCCGACTTAGCCAATCAGCAAAGCCATTTGGAGCTACTGATAATGCTCCAATGAGTTGAGGAGGCCATTTGGAGACGATTGAAGCATCAAGTGTGAAGTGAAGTGGTAGTCTATGAGGCTGGCTATGAATGGCATCGTTCTCGTGAATTTCAATTTTGCACATTTTAGTAAAGCGTGGTCATAGCAGGCTTTGACGGTGGGTGGTGATTTAAACACAATCAAGTAGTCATAAGGAAGCACCCAAGTGGTCATCCATGCCTGCACACACCTGAATGGCATCCCCACAGTCAATATCCATGATTGCACAGTCGAATTTGTGCAGATGCCTTCTTCCACTTCCCCTCCTGACCCCGCATTATTTTGCAACTTTGCAGACAACTTCCATCAGATGTGGGTCAAAAGTCATCCCAATCGCGGTGAAAATGTGTCACTTCACCAGGTACCTCGAAGTAGACGTGAGTGAGAGCGTCAGAAGTTGGCACCGATACTGTGGTATATCGTCTTGCAAGGTTATTGCATTAGAAGTTGATGTGAGGAACAAACAGGCTATACATTTGCTCTGGGAACTGTGGGTGCTACAATCGCTAAAAAATCGTATCATGCTGCATTGGTTTAGGTGATCTTGCCATCTCCACCAGAAAGCTTTCCACAGCAAACATGGCCGATGTTGATGACACAGTTGCTACTTATAGTCGACAGGAGGAGACATTCCCACACGCGTCCTACCGAAACTGCTGAATCGCCTCCCATGTCAGTGGGCCATGACTACTGCCAAAGGGGCAAATAAGGCAACGTAGGGTCAACGCGTCAGTTTTATGCTAAATTTTTCGAAAGACTGGGCTACCATGGTAGTAGTTACTACTGCCGAGGAGGAATTTCCTCCTTCTGCACTACTTCCGAGAGCATAATGCAAAAATTTGCGTTGACAGTCGTTGCAGCAAGCCCGCCATTCAGGAGTTAGATGGGGGAGTGAAATAAGCTTGTACCCCTCCACTCTCCAGAAAAGGCCCCAATATGCAGTTTACTTCGTGGTGCCACCGATTACCCAGTTCAACGCACCTCTAGCAACAATTGCTTGGATTGACTTCAAAACCTCCACAAGGTCCTCCATCTGGTCAACATCTTCGTCCTCTCCCACATAACCAAAATAGAAACACGCATTCTGTCAGCAAACCTATTCAATTGGCTTTGAAATGCGATCCTTCAGAGGCCATGTGATGGAGCAGACGAGTCGGCGTAATAGTGCTCGCCACTAACAAAACACAAGGACTTCCAGTAACAGTGGTGATAAGGCATTTCACTGGTTTCCGGAGTTCCCAAGGAGACTTAGGCAGAAGTGATTAAGAGACAATGCTAATCTGTCCTGCCTACCTGCTAAGGAAGTAATGACCTGTTCCTTCGAACTAACCATTGGCTTGCAATGCACCAAACCAACCATTTCTAGCTTGAAGACCATCACTGAGTTATCGCACTACTTATTCCTCCAAAATAAATCGTATCGTTTCCTTACATTGCATCAGTAAACACAGAAATCAGTAACTTCAATTGGTGTGGGTTGACATTCGACAAAGTGCAACTTTACTAGCTGAAGGTACGCTTGCTCCACAAGGATTCGACCGATCGCACTCACCCGACACTCCATTTTGCAGATCCTGAGGAATCATGCAGCTAAGGTCTCGCTCAAGCGATGCGGTATCACCAGCCAAACAGCAAAGTCTGTCGACCGACTAAGATGTTCATGCACGTCTCCCAAGTGTTTGGAAGGACACTTGTAGATCCTACAAACAACAAGTAGGAGACGAGTTGGGTGCTGGGGATGCTGCGACTATGGATGGCCCTGTTTTCTTGATAGTACTTGTGGGTACTGTGATAGAACGAGGGAACAGCATCCAATAATGCAATGGTACTTTAAGTACAAGTAGATAAACATCTCGGGGGACCCTGGTGGGATGGTGGACGGGAAATCGTTGGTTAGCCTCCTCTGTGATCTGCTACTTTGATGGTGGCGTCGTGATTACCCGCACTAATGCTGCTACAGCAACGTTGCCATCACCCGCCGACTATCGCGTGCACGGTTTCCCAGGCATACACAGAGGCCAGTACACATCACACGACACTACTATTGTGATTTGCTGGTGCTGAATTCTGACCCACCGACTTGTGTCCACTTCGATGTGGCTAGTGACACTGCACACCTTCATCGCCACTCGATGTGAGACTGTCGATGGGGCAGAAGCAATGGCGAAAGCTGGAACACACAAAATGCGCCTCTCTGACTGCGACTGCACATCAACAGACGCCCCACAAATGGTCATTAATGACCTTGGGAATGTCTTTTCCCCAAATCAGGCATTCATTGTGACCGACTCACTGGGTAGCACTAGTTTCACAAACAATCTTGGATGCTTGAAAATGCCATTACAATATCCTACATCTACGAATTCAGATTCCCATCACTGCATCAGCAGTTCTTACTCTCGTGCTCAGTTGTTAGGCTGTACGGTGGGTAGGAGGGATGATGAGGAGTAGCGTTGAAATGCTTGCTTAGGGAGACACCCTCATAAAAAGATAGGTGCAGAGAGAATATAAGACATGCCTCTAACCAGCAGTCCCCCAATATCCTCCACTTTCTCCTAAATCCACTCACCGCATCAATAGAACACACGTGTCTTCAAGCATCATTACGTCGAATTCATTTTGGAAATGTTACAACACTCCGTTGATTGACACCTGAGGCTGTTCATTGACAAGCACATTTAATTGCGTGGTGCTCTACTCCTCCTGTAAATGATGTCGAGGCAGGCCCAACGTATAATCTCCACGAAATTGATGATCGAGTCGTTTTGAGATTTGTTGCACCAAATGCGCCAATTGGTGGGTAACATGGCGAAGGGGAGAAAGTGGAAACCACCCAACGTGAAGAACAAATGCTTCATGCAGTCCATATTAGAGTCGAGGCCTTTTATTCCTGCCATCGTGCCTGTCATAACGAATGTTTGCTGTGGAGTCAGGATATCCACGAGGGCGTTCAGATATCCACGGTCTACATCGAGCTCACCATAATCAACATCGAAAATGACACAGTCATACTCGCTAAGGCGCAGCCCCACTCTTCGTTCGCCAACTTTTTCATACCATTCATATTTGTCCGGTGCAGTGCCACCTGCCATCGTCAAGAAGTGGTCCCAGTGATTGTGGAAATCCGGGACATCCGAGGACACGTCTACGCAGAGACGAAGAGGGTGAGCAGACAGCAGTACAGGTAGATCACAAACGTAGCGTGTCATCTTGCATTGCAGCAGTCTTGTGTAATGACATGGTGTGGTGATCACACAGCGCATTGGTGTTCGTACATTGGCAGAAAACTGCGTCCGCGAGAGCTGACGAACGAAATTCTCCTCGTTGTTGTAACGACATACTGCCACAGGGGCATTCAATGCGCTGTCTTCGGTGCCTTTGCTAAAAAGTACCTGACAGAGGCGCTTGTCCAACCACTTCATGTCGCTTATGTTGTTACAACTGGTACGAGAGGGACCCAAGGCGTCTTGATTTGATTGTGAAGTAGTTGGTTCCTCCTGAAAGGCAAATGTTGCTAACACTGATTTTCAGTGATATGTGAAGACGATCTGAATGTGAAGCAGACTCGGTGAAGGCTCACAACGGTTGAGGAGTTAATCAAACCTACCTTGGAGTCCATAATGCCAAATCTGCAAAACCATTTGAACGAAGTCCTGCTCAGGCGATGAGGGATCGCCACTCCAATCTGGCCAATCGGCTATGCGAATTGACGGACTAGGATGTTCAACAACTGCTCAGATGGGAGTGGGAGGAAATTGTGAGGTTGTAGAAGGAACGAGTACAAAGTGCGTTGGGTGGTGGTGTGGCTTTAAAGTGGGGCGGCTTCGTCTTCGTGAAATTACTGATGGACAACTTGTCCGATCTCAGGCGTCGCATCCGACGACAAAATGTGGTGATTTGAGCAAAATTGGAAAGGAATATTGAGACACTCGGTAGCATGTGATGTGGTGACTTGGTAGGAAGGAGGGTTTCACCCTGCAGCACTGAAGACCTAGGAGGCTATGCTCATGGACAGGTTTGCGCACCATCAAGATGGCAGTCAAGCAAATGCAGATTTAATAGAAGACAGTTGAAATTTGGACGCAAATGTGCATAGATATTGTGTAAGTGCAATAAATTTCACACATAGGTCCAATATGAATGCAGGTGTGTAAGAAGACAAAATTAGGGTAGATTTTATGTATTTGACATACAGAAAGGCAGAGGACAGCTGGCATGGGCCAGAGGACAGCGCAACTGACGAAGGCACAATGATCAGAGCATAAAGAGGCCCTTCAGCAAAACTGAGAGTTAAACAAGTGTCGCCCGTAGCGCTCACCTTCACCAATCTTCCGCCTCAGCCATCACAACGTAGTCGGTGGTGTAAGGAAACGCCGACGAGCCGACCGTGCCAGTCATCGAATGCCTATACAACTGAGGAGGTACTTCACCTCAACGCTACTGATTCCTCTTGTCAACTTTACTGCATCTGGAGTCGAGTTGTATTTGAAAAGTGGATTCTGGAAGGGAGAATTGTGCTGGCCATCATGAGTGTCCGTGGCTAGAGGAAGGAACACTGGCCCAAAGGCAGATTTATGATAGGAACGATGGGATCTAACGCAGATCTCGGGGCGGGGGAGGGGAGTTCCTCGTCTGTTCCTCTTTGCTGCATTGTTCCCACTTCAGAGCTGCCCAGTCATAGTTACCTGGATTCTGTCCGAATAGTAGAGAAATGGAAGGAGTATCGCGAGCTCACTTTATCAGCATCTTTATACTAAGATGGTAGGCAACTCCATGACTGAATTTTTTGAGATATGCCACAGCTAGTGTGGTTTCAGTCGTTAGTAGCTTTTCTGAAGAACATGGAATTATGGTGGATGCCGAAGATAGACGTCATTCTCACCTCTTCCATTTTAGGTTATTACCGATTCACCCATCCGGAGCCTATGCACTTCTTCCGTCCAGCTAAGTTTTATTACCCAGCAGTAGAAATAAGGACAGATTCGCTTTAAGATCGGATTTGCTTTCAGCTGCCACCAATGCAACGCCTCAAGACTCTCCTGAAGGCAAAAGAAGGCAATACTGAGGTAGAATATGTACATTTAACAAACAGAAGGTATTAGTACTACTGACATGGCCCGATGGCTAGTCCATTGTGGCTGAGCCACAATAGCCAAGGCACCAATAGTTAAACAAGCATCCACCACATTGCAACAACCATTTAGTATGAATGCAATGGTGGGAATGAATGGAAATATGATGACATTTCTGCTTCGACTGTTACTATCTGTCAATGGACCTATGATGCCCATCACTTCTCCTACGAATATACCTCTGTGAGGGAATGCTCTTTGTGTGGAAAAAGCCGTTTCTAGTAGGTGATCCATTTTGAAACATCCAAATTCAATGTGTCAACCGGCATGTGGGACAGTCTACCTCAAATCCGCGCAAGAAGGCATTGCATAATATACGTCGTGTTTTCGCACGAGATTCCTCTCTCCATCTGAGCACCGTAACATGGGGTTGTGTTCCAACGCAAATCCTCCCAGTCCTCTTCCATGCGGAGAGTGTATTTGAATTGTGGAGTTTGGCTCGGAGCATGGGTTAATCTTCATAGTTTTCATTCGTTTGAGGATTGTCATTGACATGTGCATTTGTTCTGTTTAAAAGTCCATCAAACAACTCAACATTCTCCTAGAAGGATCTTATTGGGACTTGAGATAATGAAGCCCAGCACAGCACAAAACGCAACTCAAGACGGCCTTGTGTAATCCATTATGTTCGTCTTCAAAGAAAGCCATTGGACGGAGTTATTGGGTACGAAGTTAGGGAATCAAATTTGCTTAAATTACGAGCATTCTAATGCGGGACTTGAAGCTAGAAATAGAGATATGTTGCCGCCATGGAAGTAGTTCAGT